ATCGGCTTCTCAAAACATTGTATTGATCTCTCTGTCTTCTCAGGATTTCTGAGTATGCCCAGACAAATTCAATCACTAGAATTTATAGGAGAGATTTGAGGTGGGAATGAAAGAAAAGCGTGTCTTTGATTACGTGAAATACTATCTAGCACCTAAAGAAAAACTTAATCCTAGAAGTATAGGTGCTCTTTCTGGTCAGAAATGTTCATAAAACTATTCATCTGTGGTAAAGATATCTCTATTCTTGTAATGAAAGGTGCAACTCTCTGTATCTATTATATTAAGATCGACACTAGCTACTCGCCATGAGCAGGTCATGAGCAATGCAATATTTCAGCACATAAATTGTTTTTGGAAGTATCAAAAATAACGTATGGCTAAATGTTGGAAACAATTACTTTCCCAAAGGAAAATAACCCCTCACTACTGACCGTGAAATTATTTTGGTATTGAACTCAGATCTAATATCCATTTCCCATCTTTTTTTTTTCCAAAATAGAATAAAATAGTCAAGGCAGTGGGCATCAACAATGCAGGATACAAAGCATTCAGTTCAGGCTTCCGGGTAAAACAGCACATTGAGAAAGCATTTACTTCTCTCCCTTGAGAAACCCCACTAAGATGACAGTAAATGACTTTGCCCACAAGGATCAAGAGAGCAGGAAGGGCCTAAAAAGTTGTAAGCTAGAAAGCGGAAGGGTCCATGGTAACTGCCTTTGTGGACTCAGGAACGGTGTGTCCCATGCTGGTGGGAGGGAAGGCCGAGAGGCCACCTGGTTTACACACAGCAGAACTCCCAAAGCCTTGGGAGTTGCCTACCTGTGGTAGCCCCAGAAAAGGAGGGGAGGCTCAGCATGGAAGGACCGGGTGACAGGTGGCAGAAGAGGCTGCCTCAGAGATCCTCTGAGCTCTCCCTGACTCTGCTCCTTGGGCAGCCCCACTGCTCCGGGGGAAGGCAGAGGCCTCTTCACTGGAGAGTCTGAGAGGAAGGGCTGCTGGGCTGGGAGACACCAGACCTACAGGCGGGGGAGCACCCTGCTAAACATATTCATGCCGACCTCCAGGACCACCACCCCCAGCCCACAGTGCGGTAACCTGGATGGAGGGTGGAAGATCTTTGCCTAGGGAACTTGTGCCTCCCAAGAGGAGAGCCCCCGAAGACTCAGACAGCAGGAGTTCTCTGAGAAAGGCCCGGCCGGCCAACAGTGAGGACCGGAGTAGCATGTCACACCTGGGGGCTCACTTTCCAACCAACTTTTGCGTTTTCAATCAGTTTCCTCTTTTCAATACAAGCCAACAAACAGCCCAAGATCATAGATACCTGAGGGGAACCTTGAATGTGAAAGACAAAATAAAAACAAAGAGAAAAAAACAACTTTAAAAAATAGACTATAGTTTTGTTTACTAAGAGAAAGTTTTTTTAAAAAAGTCTAGTTAATACCCTACTTATAAAAACAATGAACATTGATAGCTTCAAAAAGATAGAAGCTATTTCATTGATGTAGCAAGAGCATGATGCTGTTATTAAAGAAACATTCAAAGAACAAAAAGGACTACTTGGAAATTATAAGCATAAGGAGAGGCATAAGCAGGGGCATAAGATGACTTGCATAGAAAGGTTGAAGGATAAAATTGCGAATATCATCCAGAAAATAGAGAAAAAGACGAAGTTGTGGAAAATAGGACAGAAACACCAGAAAAATTAGAGACCAGTCTAGGTGACTCAATATCCAAATAAAAGAAGTTCTAAGAAAAAAGAAAGGCAGGAAGGAAGAAAACAGCAATGGAATCATTGAAGAACATCTCTCAGAACTTAGTGACATAAATTTTAGGCTAAAAGCGTCCATCAAATGCCCAATACCATCAATGAAAATAGAGCCACACCAAGCCTGTCATGGTGACATTTCAGAACACCTGGAATAAGATGCTGCTGCAAACTCTCAAAGGCCCGAAGGATAGAACGGTTAAGAGAGCAACACGGGGGGGGGCCAGGACCCAAGGGGTGGATTTCCTCCAACTTCTGAGGGAAAATCATCTTTACCTAGAATTCTATAACCCTCTGTTCCGGTTATCTAGTATCATATAACAAAGTCCTTCCAACTTCAGTGGCTTATAACAACAACCATTTTATTACATCTCCCAATTTGAGGGGCCAGGAATTTATCCAGAGCTTGGCTGGCCAGTTCCTTCTCTCCATGTGACACTGGCCACCGTCCCTCAATGGTATTCACCTGGTGGCTGGACTAGGGGGTCCCAGGCGGCTGCCCTCACATTGCTGGTGCCTGGGAAGGGACAACCAGAAGGCTAGGCTTATCTCCCTTTCCAAGTAGGGACTTTTATAAAATAGCTTTAACTTTTGAGCAGTTTTAGGCTTACAGAAAAACTGAGCAGGAAGTACAGTGAGTTTGCTTACACTGCCTCCTCTCCTCCTCAATTTCCTCTGTGATGAACACCATGCATCAGTATGGGGCCTTTGTTATAAATGAAGAGCCAATATTGACACGTTGTTCTTAACTAGTGTCCACAATTTACATTGGGGTCACTCTTTGTGTTGAACATTCTATGGGTTTTGACAAATGCATAGTGACACACACCCACCAGTCCAGTGTCATTCTGGTTAGTGACACTGCCCTAACAACCCTGTTGTGCTCCACCTGTTGACTCCTCCTTCTCCCTCTCCCCGACCCCTGGGAATCTCTGATCTTTTACCCTCTCCATGGCTTTGCCTTTTCCATAATGTCACAGAGTTGGAATCATAGAGTATGTAGCCTTTACAGATTGGCTTTTTCCACTTGCCAATATGCATCTAAGATTTCTCCATGTCTTTTCATTGTTTGATAGCTCGTTTCCCTTTATTCTGAATAATAGTCCATTGTACCGATGTACCACAATTTGTTCATCCATCCACCTATAGAAGGACGTCTTGGTTGCTTCCATTGTACGGCCTTTTTCCACGATCTCTCAGTAGGGTAGTCAGGTTTCTTACATGGGGTATCAGGGCTCTAAGAGACCAAAGTTGACAGGCATGTTAAAAAGCCAGGCCAAAGTTGGCATGTGTCACTTCCAAAACTGGCATGTGTCACTCCCACCATACCCTTCTTTCCTTGCTAGAATGTCCAGAACACAGGGGCAGAGGTCTTTGGGTTGTTTTAATTTACCAATATGACCCAGGTGCATAGAACATGCCTGGAACATAGTAAGACTCAATAAACATCACTCAAGTAAAATGAATTTAATTTTTTAGAACTATATGCATGAGTAGCTTTGATTTTCACAAAATAAAATGAATTATTCACCTCAAAACTCTACCGCAACACAAAACCCCATACTTAAAATATTGCTCAGACATCTTACTCTTCTATTAAGAAATGTTGTCGTAAGTTCTCTCTGACTTCAAAAAGAATTAGAATGTTCTTATTTTTGGATGTTCACTGCATCCTGAACATCCAAACCTGATACGTGCTTGCCTTTCTGAAGCACAGAATCAGTTGGCAAACACTGTAACACGGGTGAGACTTACATAACACTGAGAAATCAATGGTGACTTATGTAAGGTTATGAGATATGAACTTATTATAATGAAAAAGATACAATACATTTCAGGAGTGATAAAATACTTTTGAGTTTAATTATTATTCACTAGTTTATACCTAGTCTTGTCTCAAAAAGGATTTTAGGAAGCCTATAAAATTATAGAGAACATAACATTAAATTGCATTTAAGTTAAATTAAAGCTTGGCAAAAGAAGATAGCAAAATCAAAGAAAGATGGAACAAAGAGGAGCCAAGAAAACGACTTAAAATATGTGTAACTATAGCCTGATACTGGTCCAAATTTGTCTCTAAACTCTGTGTCCCTTAGCATTAGGTTCGGCTACAAGTAACAGACTTAACATACGGGTGGTTTAAATAAGATAACACATGAGTTTATTTCCTTCCAAAGTAAAAGTTCAGAGATGTGAAATCCAGGTATGGTACGGAAGATGAAGTTCACTGGTCCTTGGGGATCTAGAGTCTATCCACCTTACCCCCTGCCTTTCCAGGGTAGATCTCATCCCTACAGTCTAAAATAGCAGCATTTCTTTTCTGGGCAGCAGAATGGATAAACAGGACAGAGAAAGAGCGAAGAAATCTGCTAATTGTGTCTTGAGAGACATTCCCAGAAACTGCTACTGAATAATTTGACTTCCACCACATTGCCCAGAACGTAGTGGGGAAGCGACTTCTAGCTGGAAAAGAAGCTGAGAAAGCAATCATCATTCTGGTAGACATACGTGGTACTAGAACTTCTATTAAAATGGACAAAGGGGAAACCTGGGTCTGAAGGACAAGAGTGTCTATATAGCTTCACAGCAACTGAGAAAAGAAAGGGAACATGGCCATTTTCAAAATACAAATGTGGGAAAGATAATCCATTGTTCAACAGACTTAGAGCAGCTTTTGTTTAAAAGATTATAAAGGGATGACTCTGGAGGTCTGCACAAAAAGAAAATGTTTGTCCCTGGCCAGTGTGGCTCAGTTGTTTGGAGAGCCATTCAGCAAACCAAAAGGTCACAGATTCCATTCCCAGTCAGGGCACATGCCTGGGTCATGGGTTTAGTCCCCAGGTGGGGCACATGCAAGAGGCATAGATGTTTCTCTCTCACATCAATGTTTCTCTTTCTCTGTTTTTCTCCCTTCCTTCTCCTCTCTCTAAAATAAGTAAGCTGGTCCTCAGTTGAGGATGAAAAGGAAGGAAAGGGAAGAAGGAGGGAGGGGGGAGAGAAAGGAGGGAGGGAGGGAACAGTGATCTCACCATACCACACCCATGCAACCATCTCACAGGACTGTTTCTTGTAACAACTCAGGCAGTGACAGTTCAGAGAAAACACATCTGCAGAGATTTGATTATATGAGTCTTCACCATATTTATAAAAGTCATAATAAAATATGTCTGTTTGAACTTCATCATGTGAATGTCCCAACATTAAGTATACATACATATATATATATTTGTTTCAGAATTAAAGAAAACTCTCTTTACCTTCATTTATGGAAAAGAAACCGCTGCAATCACAGAGACTACCAGAATCTTTCAAAAAACGGTATGTAGCCTTCCACTTAAGCCTTTGCCGATGTGCCCTGAATGACTGACTTTATGTTCTAAGTACCACAAAAGCTAAGGATTAGATACCAAGGACCATGGGATAAAATGAACCGTCTCCCTTCTTGATACAGGGTCCCCGGGTTCAGAGCCTTTTCCCCACAGCAAAGGAGAACAAGAACAGAATGTAGCCAAGACATAGACGAAGGAGCATGTCAGTCTTCCAGCAAAGTTCTAGAAAGGTCAAAGTGCAGGGCATTCAAGGTTCAGGAGGCAAGACCTAATTGAGCATTAGCAGAACAAGGACTAAGCTAAATCAAGGTCATTGCAAAGACTCTGCCATCCCCTCTGGTGCCAAGCCTCCTACATTTCAACTGGGGTGGGAGTTTTAAGAAAAACAGCTTAGTGTGTGTGGCTGACATCGCCACAGCCATTAAGGAAAGGAACGTGTTCTCAGAGTGACGCAGAGACTTGCAGGTCTCCAGCAGCTTCCCGCAGTTCCCAGGACGACTGCGCCTTCAGGGCTCATTTCTTACCTATGTGGTCTCACCTCTCCCCTTGGACCCAGATGCAACCCATCGCCACAAGGTGTGGTAAAACTCATCATTGATAAACCAGGGCCTCGCTAGTGCCTCATGAACTGCCAGGTGATGTCTTGTGACACCATAATGCAGAGGTGGCAGACCCCTCTGCACCAGAGACGCCTGGTGCCTGGGGAAGGTACCACTAATCAACCTTGGGGCTCTCGTCAGCCACCCCCAGATTCCACCTCAGCAGTTCTCACAACGCAGAGCATCTGACAATCCTCATCCACTGATCGGACTTGGCACAAGAGGGGAAACCTATTTGCCAACCCTGTGCCTTCTCTAATTAACAACGGTGTCAAAGAATTTTCCTAACAGTACAGCTTTTCACTAAATACATGACCTACAAGTAAGTTCTCATTATACTCTATACAGAATAAATGTTCTATTCTAAGAACCACATGATATTTTTACTAATAATAGTTGACATATATTTCTCCCTTACCAAGAGCTAAGAACACTTTAGGTGTAATATTTCAGATAATCCTTTCAACAAGCAGTAGGGCAAGTATTATTATATTTCTTCAGTTCAAAGAAACCACTGATTGTAATAGCTCTGGGGAGTGTCGAGGGAGAAAAAATTAAAATGTACACATTGATTGTAGCGCTCAACCCAATATTAGAGTGGTTAAAATGTATTTCTCCAGATTGAGGAATTATAATGATCTCCACACTGTTGCCATTGAGAAAAGAGGCTTAGAGAGACCCAGAGTGCAGACAGGAAGTTGTAAGAGCTGGAGTCCGCGCCCAGGCTGCCTCCCTCCACTCAGACCAAAGCAAAGACAACACACGGCCACTGGCCCACGGTTGGAGATGGTCTACAGAAAGAGAAGGGCCACACCTCTCAGCTCATGAACACAGGCAACAGCCAGTCCGATGAAAGGGCATCACCGAACATGGCTGTGACTCATCACACACAGAGTGACTACCAGCCCCTTGCTGCGTTTCCTCTTTTTTTCCTACTGAGAGAGTTAAACAGTCCCAAAGCTGTCGGAAAATTCCTGTCTAGGTAAACCATAAATCCAAGAGAACGAAAGCAACTGTGTGGAATATTATGCAGCTTTACAAAATGACGGTTATGATTTCATATATTTTTGCTTAGGAAGGCCAAACACTGCCAAAACCAGGATATAAAATTGGATAGTATATTTAATTTCTACTACATTTTTAAAAATAAAAAACAGTGCCACATAAGATGGGTAGAAGATACACCCAAAGTAATTAGATATGATTAATCATGGGTGATTGTGTTTTTTAACTTTTCTTTTTCCCGGGGATTTTCTTTTTATGTAGAAATAACCTTTTAAAAGTCCCTCAAAAGAAGCTGAGTCTAGGGACAGAAAAGGGTCTGCCCACGGTCCCAGAGCTGAGGGTATCAGGTCTGGGCAGAAAGGGAGCAAGAGGGTCCTGCCAGAAATGCAGGCTCTACGTGCCGCAGACTCCAGACCCAGACATGTCGACGCACCATCGTTTTCCACCCACAGCGAATCCGGTGACCTTTTGTTCAGTCCAAACGACCAGCCGAGGCAGCGCGAAGAGTCCTCGGTACAACTGGTAGCAGACCTTTCATGGCCTTCCATTGTCACAGCTGTCCTTTCACATTCAGAGGACAGAGATGAAAGGGGGGAAGGAGATGGCTGGGGCACCCAGTCATGAAAACACACGCGTGTCAAAGCGGGACTGAAACCCGGGGCTCCTGCCAGACTCCTGTCTGACGAACAGATGCCGGGGGTCAAAAGACCATGTCCTTTCTGTCTCTGAATCTGAGGTCCTTTGGCGTGCGGGCAGGCAGACAGCGTCTGGTGCAGCTCCGGACTATTTTTGTACAGACGTAATTTTAAGAGGACTTCTTTCTTAAGTTTCTCATAGTTATTCATTATTTAATGATCTGGTTTGATTCTCCAGCCACTCTTCCTGGTGTTGTGGCTTCTCCTCACTATTTTCTTTTGATTTCATGCAGCCTGTAACCCAAGTGCCCGCACCAAGCAATTTTGATTACTCCCCAAGGTTTTTATTAGCCATAGGAAACATCAGCCTTCTAGATCCTGCATATTTATGGCTATACTTATTTTTCAGAACCAGCCAAAAAGAGGAGAAAGGGAAGAAAGAGTTGAGTGGAATATTAAAGCATTTATTTAAAAGGGTATGGTCAGAATTAAAGAAACAGCTCTTATTTTTGTCTTGACGTTTAGGCATGAGATCTCGGAAATGTCTATAGATAGCTCTACCACGAACCATCGCCAGTGATTATAAAGCATTTTAATATGTAAATGTCAAGGTGACCTTTAATTTGGGTACCAATTCCCTGGCACGGGCCTCAGGCACAGCGAGGCTCCTGCTCCCTCTTCACAGTTGGCAGGAAAGGGCTTCCGACAGCTTCCAACGCAGCAAAGCAGCCAGGCAGGGAGCAGCCAGCGTGGTTCAGGGGGAAGGGGCAAAGGCAGCTCCTGATGGAACAGCCCAGTGAGGCCCAGAATCAAGAGACCAGAGGTCTTTCCTCCCCTCCTGTCGATGCACAAAACCTTCTCCTTCCCCTGAAGTGTAAACAGCAGACTGGATCTGAATGCAGGTGCTGGGACTGGTGTGTGTGACTTGGACAAATTGTTCAATTTCTCAGGCCTGTTTCTGCCTCTGTAAACCGGGGATCATGGTTTGATGAGCTCAGTCACCAGAGGTGCCCTGGGAATCTCATTCTGGTTGCCTAGGCAACAGGCCAGCTCCCAGGGGCCATCCTCACTCTGTCTGATGGGTGAGTGGCTGCCCCCAGTTCAGTGGGGTGATGGGGTTCAGGGGGCAAACCCAGCCTTGCTGGTTTGCCCTTTCCTAACAAAGCCAGTTCCTTAAACTACATCACATGACATTGCAGAATTCACCACCAAGTCCGAGGCCCCTTTTCCCAGCAGGGGTAATGACAGTCCATCCCCGAACCTCACGGGGTTGTCATGAGGGGAAGGGGGACAACTCGGTACTGCCCAAGTGTCCGTCTTCAATGCTCATTTCACGTCTACCTGTCTTCCTATTTACTCGACATTTTTTAAAATCAGTCACTTTTTCGAGGTAAATGTTTTTTTTTTAAGTAGACTTGAAAAAATACATTTAAAAGACACATGTCTGTGATAGAAAGGATTGCAGCTTCTGGAGTTGGAGGGCAGAAAGAGGGGTGTGCAGGGCTGGGTCTCCAAGGCCCTGGGTACAGCAGAAAGTAGGAAGGTAACAACAGGGAGGGGTAAGAGGCTGCCTGACCAGAGAATATGGCAGAAAGAAAGAGGCTCCCTCTAGGACAAAAAAACAGTCCCGGGAGAGGAGTGGACAGTGACAGACACTGGCTGAGGCTGACAGAGGGGAGCTGGGCCGAGGGGTGGAGGACAAGTCAGCGGGACTGCTGGGGAGTGGGTGACTGGGATAGCCCACCGAGCAGACTCCAGGGGAGCCCCCCCTTGTGAGGCTGCAGGAAGAAGTCAAGGACAGGATTCAGGCCTGGCAAGCACAGACCCTGCAACCACTCCAACCCCCTGCTGCCTATCCTGCTCTTGGGAACCTCAGCGCTGGGCCTCGGGGCTGCGGGCACAGGGAAGACTCAGTGAATATTAGCTTCTTCCAGCCCTCAGTGTCCTTGCCTGACCCCACCCGCCCCCTGCACTCACACACTCAGTGGGGCCAACAGCCTGTCACCCCAGCCCTCCACCCCTGCCTCTCCTGTTGCACTTTCCTTGGCTGGTAGCGGAGCTTCCTGTTGTAGGTGCGGCTCCGGGTCTGATGCTGAGCCACGTGGGAACCAGATTTGTGTTCCCAGCACCGCTGCCAAATGCCGTAGGGGCTTCTCAACCCAACACACTCTCTTGTTTTTAATCTCAATCACTCTCAGGAGTTACATTTAACCTTTGATGAGAAGAAAACGACACACAATCATCCTTTGCCAATCTGAGCATCTCTGTGTTAGGCAAAAACCATTATTAGCAATATGACACTTCATTTAAAATAACGGGTAGGAGAAAAACAAATGTTACAGTGGCTTCCGATATGTACTCGTAAGTCAATAAAAATTCAGAAGGCATTTTCTTTCAAAATAAACAAGACTGGTCTGCTCTAGAAAAACAAGCAACTCCCAGGCCCCAAATGCCTTGTCTGAGCCCCAGGGGGGGCCGGATGGGGGTGGAGGGGTGCTCTGATTGGCGCACGGCTGCACCTGGGGTCTCCATGCTCCCCAAACAGGACCTTGCCAGCTTGTAACAGAACATCTCTCTGGCTCACAGTCAGCCTTTTTTCATTTCGTGTTTGCAAGTTGAGCCAAACCTTGGTGCAAACACACCTGTTTGGGGTTGTTCTGTCTTCAGCAAGTTGAAAGTGCTGAAGGGCATGGTCTTTCTGGGGCTCCATCTCCCATCTGCACCCTAAGAAGTCGCCCCTTTCTGCACAC